ACTAGGACCAGGACTAGAAATCCAGCGATCCAGGTTCGAACCCCGTTTGGATTTTCTCAATTCGAAAAAATAAAAATTTCCGCCATCTTGTCAACATCCGCCATCTTGTTTACCCGTAGCCGCCATCTTTTTTTTCCCATCCCGTCAGAGAGGAGTGGGGGAATGTTTTGGCGCCAGACCCACCGCGGGGGGCCTAGACGGGGTAGGTGGTGGGGGTTTGTTGTGACGGCCCATACCTGCCAACATACTACTGTCGCACTTATCGCCGTTGCATTATTAAAGATATTGTTTCTAACGTATTCGTTCGTGCGGCGCGTCAATCCGCGCCTGGCGCCCAATCCTATAAGCATTACCGTATAACTGAGAGAATAATAAATAGAGCAACAAGGTTTTGCACGCCTACCGGCGGGTGAGCTTCTGCTCGACGGAAAAGTTGTCGCAAGTTTTAGAAGCTTAGTTTATGAAAAATAACTGTGTGTTAAGTTGCACAAATAAAGCGACTGCTATAAAATCTTTTATCATATCAATTATTTTGTCGGAACTTTTCAGAATTCTTGTATTTTAAATTCTAATATTCTTTTTTATCCGTGAAGTTATTTACGCAAAATATACAAAATTTCTCTTTTCTAACTTTTTGAAACAAAGTCTGTACGTAACTGTGTAAGTAAATAATTATTATTACGTCGTTTTAGGCAAAATAAATTACATTGTTGAACAAAAATACCAAACTGCTCAAAATTGTCAAAAGTTACTTTATTTCTATTTGTTATGAGATTTACTTCAAAAAATCTCAAATACATTTTTTGCAAAAAACACTTATAAAATATTTATTCGTGACGTAGTAATAATTTGTTATATCCACAATATAAAGACTTAATAAATTGTTTAATTACTGCAAACATAGTCGATGATCTTTTCATATTTGAAATCATTTTTCAGAGAAGCTGATATTATTCATAACGAAACCTCGGATCCCGTTGGACATAAAATAAAAGTGTCATACTTAATAACATATCAAATAGTATCTCTTTGGTATAATGATGTGTTGCTGTGGTCAAAACCAGGTTTCGTTAGATTGCTTGCAACTTATATCTACCATCAGGTTGTTATAAATTCTTATTATTGATATACTACATTTAGTAAATATTTATATTTGCGCGATTAGATCCAATCGTCTTGACTTTGACATACGTTACCAAAACCAAGTGTTCTGAGTAACAAAAAAAAAATTTTCGTCGTTTATTATTTATTAAAAAATTATTAACGAAAGAAATTTACCGAATAGAACGTAATTTGATGACACCATCTATATTAAATAAAGGAAACTCTTATTGTTAGCAGATTGATTTATTTAAACATGGTAAATTGAATGCGTAACAAAAAAAGAACTCTGCCTCTCTCTTTCTCTACATCCTCATCCCGAGAAAACCTTATCTCATACCCAATTCCAATATCTTTTGGAGAAGAGTTGAGTGCGGAGCCCCTTCCCCTCTTATATCCTCGAATTTGTTTGTAATAATTATTCCTTCATTGTAAAGCAAGTGATAATGATCTATAATGGGTGTGTATGCATATATGTTACTTTTTGACACCAAGGACATAATTTTTCGTCTTACATTTGATACAAATATATGATTAGATTTTCATCATTGTATATCAAATACAACAATTCATGACGCAACAATTTATGACGCTATAAATTTATAACAAAAAACTGCGTACTTTATATTACTTTTATAACACAAGTGAAAGAAAAATATTTGCTACATGACGACAAGATATGACCTTTCCTCGAAACTTCTGGGCAGGAAAAATTAGAAGAACTTTATTTGAAGTGCTAATTTTAATTGTTAATAACTTTTTATATTGTCCAAAGCTTTTAAACATAGAGTGACGACTAAACCCATACATCAATTTACCACGTTTAAATAAATAAATCTGTTAAGAGTTTATTCTGTTTAATATACGTGAATGTTAGAAAATTATATATTGTATTCATTAAATTTCTTTCGTTAATAGCTATTTAATAAACAATAGATTTTATAATAAAAAAAGCTTATTTGCAACGATCAGTCGTGTTGTATTGCTTTAAATTGTAATTTGTTGATTAAATATTTATTTTATTATTTAAAATTTTTCAGATTCCTCCGGATTATGACATAATAAATTTATTTATCGTGGAAACACAACGGGATTCTTTTCTCTTTGATACTCCTTCTAATGCAAATGAAATGAATTCACTCTTAGCTATCTTCTAGATCATATAAAAAGTAAGTTAGGAAAATATATCTAAAAGCCTACAAATGATTAAAGTAAATATAATTAAATAATACTGTTAAATAATACGTACATTTTTATATTTTATAAAAGAATATAGATATTCTTCTTTACAATTTTGAATTTGTTGTATGGAATTTTTTTGCCGAGAATCCAGTATAATATATTCTCTCCATGAATGACCATCTATGTCGTCTGTGTGAATGTCGTGGAGTAAACGGATATATTCAATATCTATGGGATGATTAGCAATCTACAAAATAAATGTTTCAAAAATATATGTAGTATACGTAATGTAACGTTCTTTGCCGTTAAAAATGGTGTTAATGCTGTTGCTGAAATAATTACATCATCTAAAAACAATTTCACTGAATCTTCTGTGCGTCCAGACAATACCACAAGTCTTGGTAAATCATCAGTAGGTGCTCCATTATCAATCTTTTTTTTGACATTCCATTGTAATAGCATGTGAGCATTGGCTCCACCGAAACCGAAAGAATTTATGCCTACATAACCATTTTTAAGCGGCATTGCTTCTGTGATGACGCGAATGCTTCCATCCATTAATCTGGAACAAAATATAAAATTTTTTCTCAAACTACATTAATATAGCTATAGAAATACGTAGGGGATTTTGAAAATATTTATTTTTGTTAAATTGGCGAGCATTTGAAAAAAAAAGTTCATTTTACTACCAAAAAACGGGCACTTATTTGTACCTAAAAAATCGAAATATTAACTTATCGAAAATCGGCTACGTATTTCTATGCGGAATGTTGTTTTAAAGATGTAATATTAATTTGGAGTGAAAAATAGAAAATTGTTTGAGTTATGCTGCGTGCCGATTTGAAAAAACGTGTTTCGAGAAAAACGCGTTTAAAGTTTTGACTCGTGTTTCGAACATGATAAAATAAAAAATTTAATTATTAAAAATTTTTTACCTTTAATCTGCTATTCCAGCACCATAAAGCTGACCTTTCAGGTTGCTAAACTCCTCCTCGTTTTCTTTCCTGGACGCTTTTATGCTGGAGCGAGCCTCTTTCGCTGCGTCCGTCAAAGAGCGCTCCGCGCATTGTATTCGAGCAGCGTACGTCTCTAAGCAAAAGTTGTAGGATTGTGGTCCAATGTTTATGTCCATCACTTTCATTATTCTTAAAACGTTTATCAGTCCATCATTAAAATTACAAACAGCAATGTCACTTGCTATTTGTAATATTTTCTTTCCGCTTGAATAATTTTTAGGAGCCAAGTGCCAGACTGTAGAATTAAAACTTTCGTTGCTGTTCTGCGTATAGCCTCCCAAGCAACGATTCAGCAACTTGTCACGGCTCAAATCCTCGTAGATTGGTCTGATGGCTTCAAAAACTTTGTTCGATAGTGCCGGTTTATGATGAAAGGAGTCTAAGGAACCCGTTGCTTGCGCCTTCTTCCATTCGCACCAAGACTCTGAGCATTTTTCGTGCTGTGGATTTTCGTCAG